GGGCCTCTTGGTCCCATTATGGGCTGTCTTGGGCTCTCGTGGGCGATCGTGGGGCCCGGCTCGGCCGTCTTGAAGCTTTCTAGGGGGCCTTTTGGGGCGTCTGGAAGCGATCTCGGGAGCTTTGAAACCGTCTTGAAAGCTGATGAAATCCGGAAGGCGAATATGCTAAAATTGTACTTACTGAGGGAATGGGACGATTTTTGTGCTTTGAAGGCCCCTTGGAAAGCTTTTTGGGGTGCCTTGGGGGTCTTTATGTTGGCATTCGGAAACATCGTGGGGGTGTTTTCGGGACCCTCGTGGGCCGTTCTGGCGCCTTCATGGGCCGTCCTGGGGCCTTCTTGGGCCGTCTTGGGGAGCTTGGGCCCGCTGGAGCCCCCATTGGACCCATCTTGGGCACTGCCGGGGACCTCCCATGGCCCTTTTGGGTCTGTGCTGGGAGCCCTTGGGGAGCCTCTTGGTTCCATTATGGGCTGTCTTGGGGCTCTCGTGGGCGATCGTGGGGCCCGGCTCGGCCGTCTTGAAGCTTTCTTGGGGGCCTTTTGGGGCGTCTTGAGGCGATCTCGGGGGCTTTGAAACCGTCTTGAAAGCTGATGAAATCCGAAAGGCGAATATGCTAAAATTGTAAGTTTTACGAAGGGAATGGGACGATTTTTGTGCTTTGAAGGCCCCTTGGAAAGCTTTTTGGGGTGCCTTGGGGGTCTTTATGTTGGCATTCGGAAACATCGTGGGGGTGTTTTCGGGGCCCTCGTGGGCCGTTTTGGCGCCTTCATGGGCCGTCCTGGGGCCTTCTTGGGCCGTCTTGGGGAGCTTGGGCCCGCTGGAGCCCCCTTTGGACCCATCTTGGGCACTTCCGGGGACCTCCCATGGCCCTTTTGGGTCTGTGCTGGGAGCCCTTGGGTGGCCTCTTGGTTCCATTATGGGCTGTCTTGGGGCTCTCGTGGGCGATCGTGGGGCCCGCTCGGCCGTCTTGAAGCTTTCTTGGGGGCCTTTTGGGGCGTCTGGAGGCGATCTCGGGAGCTTAGAAACCGTCTTAAAAGCTGATGAAATCCGGAAGGCGAACATGCTAAAATTCTAGGTTTTACGAAGGGAATGGGACGATTTTTGTGCTTTGAATGCCCCTTGGAAAGCTTTTTGGGGTGCCTTGGGGGTCTTTTGGGCCGTCCTGAGGCAATTGGAGTCACTTTTGAAGCGCTCTTGGGCTGTCTGGGGCCTCCCTTGAGCCTTTCTGATGACCCCTCTGATCGCTCTGGGTCTGCTGGCAAGGCGCTTGTGGAGGCCCGGAAAGCCGGGTGACTTTTTCCAAGGACGTCCCAGGGAGCCCGAATACCCCAGATCCCGGGGATCCAGTTTTGGGGGGGGGGTTCCCCCCCCCCTGGGCTTGTAAAAATATAGGAAGAGGAATACGTGGCGTTCTATACGAATCTAGCAATGTCGAAAGCATCGGTCTGCAAGCTCGAGGGCGCCGAGATCGGTATCCTACGCGAGCTGTACTCAAAACACTAGTTTCTCTTGGATCTGCGGTGGGCCCCCCCCTGGCCGGCGCCTGCAGCGCCGCCCCTGGCGCGCTCCGTGCGCCAGGGAGGGGATCCAGCGCAGCAGATCCAAGACATCCACGTGGACCCTCGAAAGTCTTATTATGTTTACGTAGTTTGTCTTCGAGGGTTTAGGGTCCCAGGGGTCGACCTGTACGGTGTTTTTGCGATTTCGTGGGCCGTTTTCGTTTCGGTTCCATTCTGCAGCGAAGGCGGATTGAAGACCATGCCGAGGGAAAACGAAAACGAAACGAAAACGAAAAACACTGTTTAGGACGGTACCTGCAGGGCCCATCTCGACGCTCTCGTCGAATCTTTTGGAGGTTCTCGTGGGTGGGATGCGCTCCAGCAGCTGCGCCTCGCCGAGCGTCCGGGGGGGGGGCCTGGATCGCCCCGAACGGCCATGGCTCCCACGAGGGAGCCGAGATGTAGCGGAGGGCATCATCTCATCAGCTTCTGCTTGGGGCGGGATGGTCTCTCTCTCTCTCTCTGTCTCTTCCTCTCCTTCTCTCTCTCTCTGTGTTTCTCTTGCCGCATGATTCTTTACAATTCTGCCTGTCCCAGGGCCCGCAGGCGGAATTCGAGCAGCATGATGCTGGGAGGGTGCACTAGCGGTTTTTATGTCAGGGTCCACGAGCGAACTTCAAGCCTTGCAACGTTGGAACTGGGAACCTGTAGCTGTACCATTGGGAACTGGAACTGTTGCAGGGGGCAGGAACACGTACGGCCCGCATCCTGCTGGCCCCCAAGAGCTCCACTCGCTGCCCTGCACCGTTGATCGCCGCAGCACACGGCAAGTAACAGTTTGACGAGGTCACAGGGTAGACCCCGACGTCGGAGGGCAGACGATGTTCAAGCTTCTCTTACGGACGCCGCATTCCAAGAGGCCTCAGGCACTTTGGGACGACTTAGGGGGAGGAGATCGCGAAGTGCACGAACACGTGAGGGGTGCGACGCTGCGCTCCACCCACCCCCTGGCGGGTCGGCCTCAGGCCAGACTCGGCGCGCGTCCGCTGCCGCCCCCGCCGCTGTGAGCCCTCTGGATCCATACCCCGGCCTCAGGATCGTTTCACTGATCCCCACACGCATCTCAACCTCCATCCCGATCCTTACCTTCCCACCACCCCAGTCGTGGATGTGCCCCTCGAAGCCCGAAGGCAACAGCCCCCATCTGGGAGGGCAAATCGGCCAGCGGGGCCCAGGCCACGCCAAGTGGGAGACGGATCGGTCAAACGATGCTCATGGCTGGCCAGGTGGACGCCCTCCGTGACGAGCTGCGCCGCCTGGGGCACGAGGCGGAGCGCGACCCCTCGGGCGCGCACCGGGCTCAGGCGCGGGCGCGTGCGGAGGCGGCCAGGGGCAACAATAGGGGGGATGGGCACATGTCAGGATCGGTTAACCCTCCCTATCCCCACTATGCCATGGTGTCTCAGCTCCACCATCTCAGCACCTTGGTTGAGGATACACCCCTCGAAACCCAAAGGGCCAGCGATGAGCCTGTATCCCCATCTAGGGGTGTAATTCCGCCAGTGGGGCCAAAGCCATAACCAGTGGGCCCAACCATGTCGGAAACTTGAACATATACATGACCAGTGGGGGGCTTTTTCTCAGTCGCAGGACTTTGTGAGGGTCGGGGACGACGTCGGGGCGGTGTCGTGAATACTTTTTGTTTGGTTTCCCGGGGACCAGCGAAACAATTACACACCTGGAGCAGGGCCGCAAGAAGCGTCGGTGTATAGAGTTCGGTTCCCTACGATGCTCATCAAAGGGGGATGCATCGACCCCCGCTCGCCCGCCGATCGCCGATCGGGCCCCGATGGCCCGCCCAGCCCAGGAGGGTGCGGACTCGCCATCGGGTCCCCTCCACCGATCTCTGGCCCCCCCCGTCGAGCAGTGGCGAAGCATCCTGGCTCGCCTAAAGGCCCACCAAGGAATGTTCTAACATTTGCTTGACGTCTGCACGAACGTGTCTGGCTGAGACTGTCTTGCAGGAATGCCAGGACAGTCGGACCCTGCTCAACCCCCCTTGTCGTGTTCCCCTCAGAGGCGGCGATGGCGCACGAGCACCCGCTGGTGCGGCTCGCAGGCGAGCTGCCTGTCAAAATCTGTCGGGGCTAGGCAGGGCAGGGAGCCCAGATGCCATCCGACGATCGATGTGTTTTTCACGCCGGCAGTGCTTCCTGCATTTGGGCCTCCAGGCCCGTAATACAGTCGAAACCGATGAGAAGGACGGGTATTCTTCCCAACGCTACCCTTGCATCCTTGCCTCGTCGGTCCATCCTTAACCATTTTTGATGGCCAGCCCCGCTCGAGGAGCCTCGACATGGGAGTCAATTGGCTTGCATCCTTATTGAGCATCCTTACTATCAGCTATGACTGTAGGGCCCTGGGGCGACAAAAAATGGAGCCGGTTCGCAAAACTGTCCCCGGAGAGGGAAATCAGATCGTCGGATGTGTGGGCCTATCTTTCCGAGGAGGAGTCTCTGGAGATCCGTTCGGCGTTGGTTGAGCACCAGACGGAGCTGCTCAGGTGGGCAGGCACTCAAGATGCCATGATCGCCGATAGAGGTTGGTTGGACGCTTCTGGTTTCTTTGGGCCCGTTGAGGTGGACGGAGACATGAGGCCAGTTTCCCAGCCCAGCGCTGCGTTCCTTGCTTCCCTTCAGAGAAGGTGTGATCGCGAGGGCCGCCGCTTGTGGGCCCCGTGCATCGGCTTTAAGGTGCCCACTGTTCCAGATACGGCGGCAGATATGACCGCTGCAGTTTTGTGCGAAACCACGCTCCTGTCACGTTTGCAGGGACACAACCTCTGCAAGGCCAAGGTCTTCGTGAGGGACGGCGGGAGGGCAGGTGGGAGCGGGTGGGTGACGTGCTGCCTGAAGTGGAGTGGTGGCTATGCCTGGTCTGGAGTTATGTCTCTTGCAGGCGTCTGTCAGGGTCACCCTGAAACCAAGTACCTGGAGCAGCAGAGGTCCAGGTTCCTGAGGGGCCTGTTTCCGTCCCGGTCGACTCAGTATGCTGACTGGACCGTTTCAGGGCATGGTTCCCCGACCCCCTCTGATTTGCTGGCTCTGATCAGGTCAGTTCACAAGGGGGTCCAGGTCAGGTGTGCCGGTGACCAGGACAGCGTTGAAGATTTGGTTGGAGGCCTGTGGGAGGAGAAGTGGAACCCTGCCCAGCTCCTCTCACCTTTTGGCCTCGTGTTGCCCGCTCAACAGTCACAAGCTGCCGTGTGAGTTTGCGTTGGTTGGGGCGGCTGGCTCAGACGGCCGCTTCCATCGAATACAGTACAGGAGGAGGAGGAGGGGGAGGAGGAGGATGAGGAGGAGGAGGAGGAGCAGGAGGAGAAGGAGGAGCAGGAGGAAGGTGAGGAGGAGGAGGAGGAGAGGAGGGGAGGAGGAGAGGGGAGGAGGAGGAGGAGGAGGTGGAGGAGGAGGAGGAGGGAGGAGGGAGAGGTACGGCTGCCGCTGTTCGTGCCGGAGGGCCCCAGTCGCCACGACTGGATCCAGTTCGAGGTTCTGGTCCGCGGGGTGCAGCGGTGTATGGGTATTTTTGTGGTTCCTGCTGGTACGGGGGAGGGAGGGCGGCAGTTCAGAGGGGAAAACGGTACACACACTGCAGCAACACCAATGCATATTTTTCAGTCTTTTTGAGGCCTCCTGGGAGGCCCTCGTCGCCGCCGCTGATTTCGCCTCGAAATCCTGGTCAGAACGCGCCCCGGGAGAGGTCCGGGGAATAGCCGCATCGGTCCTTGTTGTTTTCCCCAGCCGTGGATCAAAAGTGGGCTCCGAGGGAGGCGGGTCGAGGTTTTTCGATGCCTTCGGGCTCCCCGGGCCCTCCTGGGGCTGTCTGTGGCCGTCAGGAGACTGCCCAGGGTGAAGGCCTTGGGTTCCAGGGCCCGTTTCTTGCATGCCACGGAGGAGCAGATCATGATGGGACGGTTTTCCACCACCACAACCATGCGTAGGAGAAGGAGGAGGAGGAGGAGGAGGAGGAGGAGGAGGAGGAGGAGGAGGAGGAGGAGGAGGAGGAGGAGGAGGAGGAGGAGGAGGGAGGAGAGGAGGAGGAGGAGAGGAGGAGGAGGAGGAGGAGAGAGAGAAGGAGGAGAGGACGGAAGGAGGAGAGGAGGAGAGGAGGAGGAGGAGGAGGCGAGGCGGAGGAGGAGGAAGGAGGGGGGGAGTGGAGGAGGAGGAGAGGAGGAGGAGGAAGAAGAGGGAGAGGGGAAGGAGGAGGATGAGGATGAGGAAGGAGAGGAGGAGATAGGAGGAGAGGAGGAGGAGGCAGGAGGAGTGAGGAGGAGGAGGAGAGGAGGAGGAGGAGTAGGAGGAGGAGGAGGAAGGAGGGGAATGAGGAGGAGGAGGAGGAGGAGGAGGGGAGGAGGGGCGGAGGCGGAGGGCGGAGGAGGAGGAAGGAGGATAGGGGAGAAAGGAAAAGGACGAGGAGAGGAGGAGGCGGAGCGGAGGCGGAGGCGGAGGGCGGAGTGCGGAGGCGTAGTCGGAGGGCGGGAGGCGGGGGCGGGGGAGGATGAGGAGGGCGGAGGAGGGGGATGGGAGGAGAGGATTCCGGCCGCCGGGTTCGGCCTCGGGGATGAGCAGGCGGAGGAGTACGACGGAGGAGAAGTGCAGAGAGGAAGGGGGGGGGAGGATGCGGGAGGCCCGGTGGCGGGAGAGGCGGAGGGGGAAGGAGGAGAGGATGGAGGAGAGGATGAGGAGCAGGGAAGGAGGAGGAGGAGGAGGAGGAGGAGAGGGGAATGAGGAGGAGGAGGAGGGATGAGGAGGAGGTCGGAGGCGGAGGCGGAGAGGAGGAGGGGGGAAGGCCGGAGGCGGAGGCGGGGAGGGAGGAGGAGGAGGAGGAGGAGGAGGAGGAGGAGGAAAGCGAGGATCGCCCCATCCTTCTCCCCCGCCCTGTCCACGGCAGTTGTGGTGGAAACTTTCCCCATCGGATAAGGTCAAGGCGATGAAGTGAGGACCAGCTTGGGCTCTGGAGGGCCTTGGTCTTCGGCTCTCTCCTCGGCTCCAGGTCGTGGAGCTTGCTCGTGGCCGAGGCCCGCGGTGGCCAGGAACACGCCCCTTCGTTCCTGCTTCTGCTCTCCTGCTGCTGGCGGCGTGGTGACTGTGTGCGTGCGCGGGTGGGAGTGGCAGGAGGCGGATGGCGGGAAACGGAGGAGGAGGATGGTGTGGCGGGGCACCACGCGGAGGAGGAAGATGGGGGGGAGGCGGAGGCAGTCCTCCAGTCGCCACTGCCAGACCAGCCGCCGGAGCGCAGATCGCAGGTGGAGGGATGAGGGTGCAGGTGGCGGAGTGGGCAGCGGAGGAGGATGAGGAGGCAGCTTGACGCTGCGAGCGCTCGCTCCCACGGCAGGGCATGCCCAGGAGAAGAAGGAGGCCGAGCAGGGCCAGGGAGGGGGCGGCCCGATGTGGAGGGGGGGGGGGCTGCCCCCTGCCGCGCTCGGAGGCGTGCACGCGCTCGCGCGGGTGTCCGAGGCCGAGGGGCCGGAATCCCCCCTCCCCCTGCTCCTCCTCCTCC